CACCGCCAAACACCGCCACGTATTTAAATAGTGAGATTCTTAGGACCTAGCAGCACATCATAACTACAGTTACAACAGATACGTGTAAATTCCCTTCCCACTGAAATATTGATTTCTTTCCATCGAACACATAAAATGATCATAAAGTATCCACTAAGCGAAAGCTTGTGCTGTCAGTGAAGGTATATGATATCGGCATGCACCATTCCGATTTCATGCACGGCGAAAAGTATTATTATTTTTATTATTCAAATGTTCGAGATGATATAAGTGTCGAATGAACCAAAATCTATATTTGAGACATGCAGAGAGTCTTTGTAAGTGGAACAAAAACCTTACCAACCATCTACAAGTATTAATTTTTTACCACTTTTTCAGGTGGGAACATGTTGCTTAGTATCAAAGCAGCCGAACACATCGCAGAAGACGGCTTTATGGGAGCCTAAATGCACGTTTACTAGCATATACATTGTTAGGTGTGAGTTTTTTCTTTGACACACACACACCACAAGAACATATGCACATGTACCAGAATCTAAAGAATTTCTCATCTATGCCAGATTGTCCAATTTCAGAAAGTAGTGCTTCGATGACCTCTGCTTCGGTCTTCACGTGAGGCACTTTCGCGACGATTCATACATGACCAGCTTTCATACCATTGTCAAGATTGAGAAAGATTGTGTTCCTTCCAATGTGCTGATCTTCAGTGAAAAGCGTCATGATTGCACAAATCTCATTTACTTTTTGAAGAACAAAAAATAAACTTTATCATAGCCGTTGTGAACATTTTTATGTAGATAATCAATCAAAATAAATGTGGGGGACCAGTAAATCATAGAAAGGATACCTTGTAGAGTAGCAACGCTAACAAAAGGGCTAGATCCCAAGAGCATCACAATAGCCCAATAGTTTAAATCTATTTTCTATTACTAATAGATAGATTACTTTCGTGATTGAAAGAGTGCAAAATTTACCAATAATATATAAATAAATGATTTCAAAAGTAGATTGAAATTTGATATACTGAACACTATGCTGAAAGCAGAATCCCGTTTCATTGGATATTTTATATCATGCTCTTTCGTAGGTAAGAATTATCGCACATGATGATGTAGATTTATAATGCCAGGATCAAAATATTTGGAATATTCACTAATAGGCATAATAATAAACTCTGTGAATAACTTGAAACAAATATATATATATATATATATATATATATATATATTCTAGACATTTTATTTTATAATATTCATGCTGATATATATTACTTTTATGCCATCTACTTATTTAGTTAAAATGAGGTCAGTGTGTGCGATTTATCTAATCGTATCATTATCTTTACCAGTTTTGACATCTTCTATAACTTAGTGGTTGTTGTGGTTGAATGAGGAATTTACTTGATATAACAGCTTCATATGATTTGAAGAATATAAATTCTTCAAATCATCTACTTTTCAATTTCAGTCTTCTTGTATATCTCTTGAAAATGTGTTGAAACAAATCAAAATGTAACAAAAATGCTACATGTATTTCTTTCATGAATATTATATCCTAAAATTTTTGTTACACATCAAGATCAACTCTCGATAAATGTGAATTTGATTTTGATGATTTAAGAATTTTGTAACATATCTATGAAAGATATGCAGATAGAATTATTACTTTGCATACAAAATCTGGTGAAAAATTTGTTCTTTAAAATGATATCCATAATTTTTATACAAAGATATAAATATAATCCTACATAAAATATTATAAAAAAATTCTTTAAATTAAAAGAAAACGGATTGATAAATTTAATTCTTTGAAAAAATATTTCAATTTTTAACACTTGATGTGTAGAAATTCACTGTAAAAAGGTATATAACTTCTCCGATTCATTTATTTAAATTTTAATGATGGACTGAATTTCATAGTTATTTTCAAAAAATCTGAAAATAATCAATATAATCATTATGACCAAAATATAATTATTTGATTTTTTAATGTTGAAAATCCTCAATGAAAAAAATATCATTCAAATATCAAATTGCAAGAATAAAACATATGTGATCTTTTTATATTTGCAAATTCAATAAGAAGACACACAAACGTAATCTAAAAAATTTGTCATTTTTATACAAAATAGAAAGATGTACACTGATAGACTTATTAACTTTATCCAAAACTAATTTTTAAGTTGCACTTAGTAATTCATATCTGGAAAAAATTTACATTTTGTGCATAGTTAAAATTAAAAATCTATTGTCCAAATCATAAAGACCAAAATAAAATTATCTTAATTTATCAAAAAATTTCATATCTCGAAAACTTTTTAAAGCTAACGCACTTTCAAATCAGATTAAAATCTGTATATCAAGTCATACATAATAAAAAGAGATTAAAAAAGTTTTATATATTACCGAACTTAATTTTATGACTTTGAGATAAGTACTTTTCAAAATAAAGCAAAATTAATTATAATTTATGAATCTTGTTATATTACTGATTAATATATTCAAATTTTTATATTATTATCATAAAATTAAATTTTATGATCATTTATTATATCCAATATATCATTTTTATATCTTTAATCATGTCATGTAGTTTAATGCATTTCATTTTCGCAGTTTTTTGTTATATTATAATTATTAATGAAAAATTCTTTCTAAATGAAATTCTTTGTACTATGGACTTTTGTAAAAAAATTGTAATTATTCATCAAAACTAATTCTATGAACAATGCTTGCTCAACCCAAAACTGTAAAATCCAAGTGATTTCAATGTAGATGAAGTCAAATCATACTTTATAGTTAGATAGTCTTTCACTCTAACATAAATTTATACAAAATTTTCATGAAATTAATATTTTAAAATAAGTTATAATGTAGAAAAATGAAATTCACAGTTTAATATCTAGTTTTTTCTTCATAAAATTTAAATAAAGGATACAAAAATTGATTCCATTGGAAAAGATATAATGTTTAGCTTCTTATATTACTGTTGTCATTATTCATGTTTTGTTTATAAGAGTAGGAATAGAATAACATGCATTCTCTGATCTATGTATAAACTAAGTCATGATCACACAACATGACTATGTTCCAAAAACCTGTATCTTCATGATTTTCAATCATTCTCAACTCAAAAACTGTTTGGCTGTTACAGTTAATCAGATCAAAACATAAAGATTAAAAATTGTATATTCTTTTAACTCCATAGTATTAAATTTTGTGTTGTTAGGATTGGTCATTGCGGAGTGCTTTAGGCGACAACAAATGCGATTGATTCTTTTGTGTTGTTACTTCCATCTAGAGAGTAGAAAGAGCGTTACAATAACTGAGTACAAGTTGTAGGACAACCATAATCATGACAACTTCGTTGATCTCCGGGTACGTATATTGTTCCTCTATTATAGTCATATATCACACGAAGGATTCTTAAGTAAATTCCACTAGGTGAGGTTTTCATGCCAATATGGTCGATTTTCCAGCAAGTAACCCCAGGTGTCCTATAAATCACGTTGTGCCAAGTATACTCTATATATCTGATCTGGAAGATTAAAACACGGAGTTTGAGGATTCGAGCACTGTGATCAACCTATCCGTAAACACAATTTCATTCCACATGCTGATCTCCATACATTCAAGATTGCGATAGTGACTAAATTTATCCGAAGACAACACAAGTCGCATCCACGCGAAATTGTCACCACAAAATCTTCTCATATTATAAAATCTGCTCCAACCTTTGACATGTTCTCAAATCAATTCTTAACGGAACTGAGAATATGTTTTGAAGCTTGAGGGATGCAAGGAAATGCTAACCAAATTGTCGCTTTCAGAATTAACTCCTCTCCTCTATGCAGTTAGTGCAATCTATCCAGTTTATAAATGGAATTAGCTCTTCCATTACTCTTCCATTTTGTTGAATTTCCAATTCATGTTCTTCCAGAGTCATCTCCAAGTCCATGGCTTCTTGCTAAAGTGTTGCACATATCTACTCTTTGACATTTTTGGCGTGATTAAATCGTTATTTTTTTGCTAGCTCCACTGTAAAGGATCAAACATCATTCTTTGACACTAAATAATTACGGTGATTATTCTTCTATCAACGACTCCTTCATATGTCTTACCTAATAGAGCATGACATGGTTTTGCAACCCATGAAATCTCAGGATCTGAAGTCTATACTCGATCAATTTACCGCAGTTGTGAAATCAACATAAATTCTACGGAGAGACGTGAAGTTTATGAAGATTTGAGACCCGTCAAATAGTTTACGCAAGCCGTAAATCCATCTACGGGAATGCCGTACAAACATTACGGCATCCGGGCTTGACAATCGCTTTAGTGTAAAGTACCAACTTTCAGCCGGTACTCTGACCAGTTCTTTCGGTCCTGTAAAGAGGTTTTATTCGAGCCTTGATGAAAAACCGAAATTGCAATGCGTGCATTGAATAGACTTTAAAAGGGCAGCCCAGAATGAGGACTTTTAGAATACATGTGAGAAAGAGAAAAAAAGCTCAAACCAGAAAGGTACACATGCGATTGATTTCGACCCGATTTTTTTCGCTTTAGGCCTTTACACCAAAAGAAAAATTCATAATCACCTGAAATAAACCTCTACCAAACATCCTTTGACGTGAAATGTATAGTATAGTCGATTGATGTGAAGCGTGAAAATGAAAAGTGATCCCGTGGATGCAAAAATTCAACGGAAACCATCAGACCGAACAATCTAGAAAAGCCACAGTTAGATCTTGAAGGAATATATTGATATACTGACGTATAATATTATTTCGTTTTTTAAATAAAAACAGTTAAAAATCAATATATGTTGCGTCGAGTGTTTTGATGTCTCAATAAATCTAAATGATATTAATTTTAATCATTTCAGCTTAAATTATTATATAATGTCTAGATAATGACAAGATCATGTAAATCCATAAATTTGTCAAATTATACATTTATAACGCCATATAATTCAAAATTATTGAAGTACCAATACATAATGTCTTTGGACTATATATACTAAATATCTCCAAGCTCCGATAAACATTGGGTTTTTGATTTGCATCACAAGAGTTCAACTCTAAGCTGTCATAAATTCTCATACTATAAATTCTCATACTTCTCTGCTTGGACATGGGACCTGTCATACTTGTAGGACATGCCACAATAACCTCACTCTTGACTTTCCCCTCCACCATTAGAACAAACTTGACCTGGACTTCTCAAAATCGTGAACAAGGCGTTCCTCTGAAGACTCCGGTCAAGAACAACATTCCAACCTCGTGATTCCTTCCTGTACTCAAAGATTCTAAAAGTATGCCACAACGAAGTCTCAACCGAAGGTCTGACATCGCCCTACCTCCTCCATTCAACGCTACAAGTCACGACTGCGCTCAGAGCATGGACTTTTCACAATACCGCGTGAGTAACGTTTTAGTCGTTTCGATCAGATTCTGGTCTGAGCTAGAGTTGAATCTCATCGACCTCCATTCCGGGCGGACGGTGGACTTGGCCTTGGATGCACTCGTGCAAGCAGGAAGATCAATGATATGGACTTTTGCTGTAGCTAGAATGAAGCTCGCGGGGGCGTCAAGTTCACGATTGAAACTCGGACCGTAGTGTCTCAGGCATGCAGGCAGTCACAACTCTCTCTCTCTCTCTCTCTCTCTCTCTCTCTCAATCCAGCAGCCAGCCAGCGTCGATACATGAACAGAGATCGCGAATGTAACAGACCCTCTAGCGCGGTCTCGGGGACGACGAGAACAGATAGCGATTGCGTTGGGAACGCAAACGCGGCCTTCGCGTTTGCGTTTACGTTCACGTTCGCGTTCGTTCACTCTGACAGAGTAACTTCATGGCATGAGATCGGTTCGCTGCAAGCCGACCACGGCAGTGGTGCTCGGCAGTGACCGGTCACGGGAGTAATGATCACTCTGAGACCGGACGCGACGGGAAGGAGGCAGGGGGAAGAAGATGCAATAAAGTCCAAGTTCATCATTGCCCAGGACACCCCGGGTCGGGTCGCTTCGAGTCAATGACACAAAAGGAGGGGGCGCGAGGTAGATGGTCTGTTGACGTTCGGGGCTCGGGGCTTGGGGCTGGAGTGGATGAGATTTCGTCGTGCGCTCGCAAAGGGCTTGTGTGTTGAGGGAATGATTCTGTTCACAGTAGCGCCGACGAATGTACTTTGTGTTGCCTGCCTGCCTGCCTGCCTGCCTGGTGGGCGTGATCGAGAGGGGATGTGATGCGGGCAAGGCGGTAGGTGCACCAAATGTCAAACCAGGAAGCCGCGCGAGGAGTAGGAGGAAAAACTCAACTCCGAGGGGCCTAAATGTCAAAGCTACGGAATGTTGGACATTCTGGCCTGCCTGTTCCAGACCCATCCATCCAGGAACCGCGCATGGCGACGTCTGGAAGACGGTCAGGGCTGCATAGTTCGTGGTGCGTGCGAGCCCCGATCCGAGGTATGAGAAGCTGTGCGCCGGGGGGAAAACGACGTCCCGGCGTCCAGATCGTCTCGTCGCCAGGTGAGCTCTCACTGATCGATGGAGGGAAGGACTCGAGGAGCTCTCAGCGATCGGGGGGTCTTCGCGGTTGGGGATCTCCACATCACAGTGCACTGGCCGATAGCCAGCCCATGATGTGCATGCATGAATGAACGCGCCGAGATGATGAAAGTGATCCAGCGTCCTTGTCTTCTGCAACGGGGTTCAACACTCCAAAGGAATTCATCTGTGACTTCGGCCCTCTCAAATTCTGCAGCACGGAGTGATGCTAAAGAACCAGCAGCAAGCCACAGCCTGTGAATTCGAGCACTGTTGGCTTAGCTCGCCATGTATCGATTCAAGGGCTTCTTCGTTCGATGTTGAGCTGATCTGATCTGATCTGATCTCGTATAGTCTCGTCCCGTCTCGTCCCGTCTCGTCTTTGTCGAGAGAAGGATCGGGAGAGAGCTGATGACGCGATTATGAATTCGCTTCCTTGGAGGACTCGATCGATCGATGGATCGATCGTCTGTGCGATTCGCGGCGTCGTGTAGTTGCTGGAGCGTGGTCGGTGGAGGGACACGTAGCAGCAGGGATCGGATATAGCGTGACGTCTTGTGAAGGGGAAGGGAGGAGCGAGGACGCTGAGCACCCCGAGAGTCAGTCCTCCTCCGCAGGCAGGCTGGCTGCTGGAGCGGGCTGGAGCTGGGGGTCCTGCCCCCTCCCCTGCCCCTGCCCCTGCCGTGTCTTATCCGCTGGTGACGTGTCGTGGAATGGCAAGCGTCGACATTAGCGTTCGCGACAAGGCAAGGAAGGGAAGGAAGCCCGACGCCCGACCCCCGACCGCTTGTTCCGCTGCCCCAATGCCACCTGAAAGATTGGGTCGATCCATCCATCCATCCACTTTCCGGCTCCGAACGGATAGGGGATGGGTTCCGTCGGCGACTCAGAGCAGGCCCGCGGCACGAGAAGACATCTTTCGCGTCTCGTAGGTGAGAGAAATAGGCGCATGACGAATCACGGGATCCATGGGCTTCAAGCCCAAGGCCATCCCTTCCCCCTTTCCCCTTCCCCCTACCGCTTCCCCCTACCCCGCCCCCATCCGCTCCACCTCTTCGCTCTCGTGACATTCGTTCTCCTGGCGCGAAATGGCCGCGGCCGTTCCTCCCCGGGGACCGTACGAGTCCAAGCCCCCGAACGTCAGCCTGCGGTCAAAGGAACGGACGCTCGCTCGATCAGATCGATAGACGCGCTCCCGATCGAGAAATTGAATGCGGCACACAAATCTCCTCCCCCTCCTCCCCCCCCCGCGCACGATCCGAGAGTTTGTGTGCATGTGAGAGAATCTCGCCCCCGGACGGCGCGAGCCCCCGAGACAACAGAACGGATCCTCATCTGATAAGCGCTCTCTCGTAGAAGGAAATGACGGGCCTCCGGGGCGCAGAGGTCAACCGTCGTTTCAGTTTCAGACGGTCAATTAGCGGTCGTTTCAGTTTCAGAAGGTCAATTAGCGGTCGCCCCGGTCGGTCGGTGGTGTCCCCGTGAGGGGCTGGGCTGGGCTGTTGCACCCTCGAATTCGGCCATAAGGTCCTCTACTTTGTACGCACTTCCTCTGACCTGACGAGAGCAAAGTCTTCTCTTACTCCTTGTTGATGTTCCAGACGGTCTCTATTTCGACTGGCAGTGTCGAGACTTTCCGGAATTTATTCCTCGCACAATGCGTCGTCTTCTCGGTTTGCCAGCCAGCCCCACAACAACGCGCCCATGCCCTGAACATTCCAACACAAACAAGGATCCATTGCGCCCTCGTCGCTTCCTTGCTCGCTCGCTTTTTGTCCTGGCAAAAGGATTTGTGTTTCAGCTGGGAAAGCGTAGACACGCCACAGTATCAGCAGCACATAATGGAAGCATTTTCAAAGATTCCGAGCTTTATAGTTTGTCATCACTATGGGCATACGGCCCATGCCCATATGCCCAAGTGACCATTTTCTCTTACGACCACCTTTGTCCTGCCCTCGACACGTTTTCTGTCTGGTGAAGGATCTGCCGCACGAGCTTGTGATGAGCAATTGCTGCGAAGTCCTTGGTGCTTGCGTCACAAAATCGCTCGACCTCATATGAAAACACAACATAGGGGGCCGTGCAAGTTAACCTATTGACGATGACGGATGTGGAGCTCGTGTAGCAGCGTGACTATCTTCGTGGGGGGAAGATTACTCTCCAGTATGCATTCAGGTGACCAACACCAGTGGGCCCGAGGGGAATCTACCAGTGATTTGACTTTGGAGTACCGCTGGTGGCAAAATATGTCAAACAGCTTTTTGCGATTCTACCTGAGAACAATTAATGAACAACGTGTGTGTTCCGACTTCTTGTCTCTTTAATAATGAGGATTGGACTGCGTGTGCAGAATGCGTGCATCCATGGGCACTTTCCACTCTAAAGCGAACAGGCAGAGGACAATGTGAGCATCCATAATGCAATCTTGGATGTTCTATTTTCAGATGCAAAAGTAGCTCGTGTCCAACGAAAGAGAGTTGTGGACTATTTTACACAAATGGTTTCGCCGAGCAATCACGAATTTCTTTAAGTGTTATGATACCTACGGCCAGTATTGCTTCCAAGACCTGACGGCTCAAAAGCGTGTGAATAAGATACAGGTCAGGAAAAGCCCATCAGGTCGTTCATCAGCGACAACATGACTGCTCGTTGCCCAGTTCAAACCGAACTTCAAGTTATCCACAAATGTCACGCAATCTGTGAGCTGAACTACACCAACGGCCTGCGTTTTTTTTTTGGGAACCTCTCAAAAGAATCTGTAAACGATCGATACTCAACCCGAGCACCTACGCAAACACTTCACTGTGAGATTGCAGACTCTATTCATCCAATAGCTCACTCCCCTCAGCTGGTACTTCCTCGGTCACCAACGACCCGAGATTAGAATTGAGACCGACGACTTCGGCCGGTGCACTTTTAACTCCAAAGAGACTAAGAAAAGTGAATCTAAGGTTCATATGGAAGCACAATTGAAATGAACGTCTCAAGACCATCATCAGAATGTGCATTACTGCAGGAACCACGTGGACGAGCTTAAATATCATCCTTCGCACCATAATCATGAATAGAATTGATGATCTGACTCAATAGGCTGTACGCCTTTGCGCCACATAGAGTGATTTCTAAAAGGTTTTAATATCTCAATATGAGGCTTGTACCACTAAATGACAATCAAGTGTTACCTGAAACAACCACATCAACACCCGTCCGATATTGCCAGGCACCTGCTTGTATCAGATAACCCCGTGAATCTGCACCCACGAAAAATAAGGCTTTTCAGATGAAGGTAAAGGTTGTCGCCGGCTAGAAGCGTGAGTTAACATGAAAGTCTACCTCTCCAACTCTGATGTACACAAGAGCGGAACTGATCTATATTTCTCTTGAGTCCTTGATATAGTTGAAACTCGGTTACATCTCAATATCCTGTTACACTTTTGAGAACGAAGTGAACGGGAGGAAGGCCGAGTGATTATTGGACGAGAAAATAAACCTAATGTAATGGCAGGTTTAAAGCTCGAATATTAGCTGATTCGGACGATCAGACACTTGTATATTCGTCTCCTTCAGATGTATTCAACAAAAGGACCTTTCCACACACATCTACTCATGGTAGACTGTCCGAAAAAATTGTGATCTAATCGACAACCAAAGACCAAACTGAGCTGATTTTCAGGCATTTTCGGTGGAGTTACAGCACACCTACTAAAACCGGTTGAGTTATGCATTCGTTGAGGAAAGTTCGTGATATGCTGGACATGCTATGGTTAGATCTGAGCTCTAACAATTCAGTATGCCGTAAAGGTTTCAAGAGAGCTGGAAAAAGGTAGCTCGCAACCAACCTGGAGGTACTGAAGCATGTATTCGAATGACAGTCAATCACGTACTGCAGCCCTTAAATGCTGTCGTGAATAAACTCGCTGCTGTTCCTACTTGCAAGGGCAGCAGCCCTTCTGCTCCCGTGCACCTCCCAGAGGTACCCATAAATGAATGAAAAAGATATTCCATCGCTCTAATAAAATGCAAAGGGCTGTCTTGCGGATCGTGAGTAAGAATGTGTGGTCTAGAATGGCCGCATGTCAAGCCCCACCTACAATAATCTATACAAAAATCAAGGGTTCTGACACTTATACAGTGTGCACATCAGACGTCCTGTGAAGTCTGCAAAAAAAGGACATGTACCAACACATGTTACACAGAATAATAACATACACCATAACTGAAACGTACAGATGAGAAATTCATTAGCAGCAATAAACACTCGTATAGCTCGTGGCCTGACACGGCGTACGATATTCTGTTCTGACCATTGTCAGAAGCTATGAACATGTGGTTGTAGACCACATTCTCCAGAGACACTTCCAACATACAACCTCGTCCTGTTAAAAAACAGTAGCTCTAAACCATCGTGAGGCACATTGTTAAAACATTAACAAGGTGCACTTTGGCTATACCTCCAAGAATCCTCCCCTTTGATATTCGCACAGAAAACGGCGAGGACAAAGATATGGTCCGTCCGTTGTGATGCTGGCTGGCATGTACATGACCACACCTGCTTGCTACAGTAAGTTTGCGACAAATTGTGGGTAGCTTCAGTATCAAACCTGTCATTGCTTCTCTGCTAGTATCTGCTCCTTCACCTTCTCAGCATCCTGTTCGCCAACTGGTGTTGCTGGTGCATCTCCCCTACCCAGAAGAGGAATAGAAGACTCAGCTTCAGGATCCCCTTCTTGCTCAGGAAAGAGCTCACTTTGTAATGCGGGGGCAATGGCCTCGACATGGTGCCATGTAAGCTCCCAAAGACTGTCCCCACTCAAGGTACTCCTTTGCACAAGAACTCCCTTATTGTGCATGATCAGCAACATATTCTTCAGAAGCTCTGGTATCACTTCTTGGAGCTTGTCAGAACCCTTACCTTTGAGACGAGCATTCATATACATTTCCATGCGACTCAGTATATTGAACCACGTTGGGCGGAAACTTGGCAACTGTGAGAGTTGGCTCAGATACTGCAGAAAAATCTTGGAGAGAAACTTCATGGCATGCAGCAGTGTGCCTTCCATACCACGGTATTCCTTCGGAGGATGTCTGAGGGCAACGTCTAACAGATCGTCAAGCATTACAAAAATAACCTGTTCGAAGCAAGGGTGCCAAATGGTCGGTGGAAGATGGATGTTCTCCACAGACAACAGGCAGCGCTGCAGCGATAAGATGGCGTGATTTCTCACATCCTCCCTCTGTTCTCCGCAAACTCTTCTCAGCACTTGAGCAAGCCTTAACCACATTTCCCCTAGCGCTTGTGTGTCAACAATTGCATCATCTTTAGTCTCCGGCTTGAAAACTTCTCCGCCTGCTCCCTTGGTGCTGTCAGAACAAGTTGCAGCCCACTGAATTAAGCAGTTCACTGATTCTGCCAGAAGATCCAAAGCTCGAATGGACCTCTCGACTCCACCAACACGAGCTTCAGCAAAAGCACGAGCAGCATCCAAACATAGAACATAGTTAGCTGGGGTCAAGTGGGCTCCATCAGACATGATGAAGCTGAGTGTTTCGAACCCTGGCCCAAAGGCCTCCGGATGTCGAACAGTACTTGCTAGCAAGGATGACACAGTACGCCAACCCATAGGAGATTTGATGTGTCCAGCGTTTGCCTTCACAAGTTGCATCATTTCCTGCGTTATGCGCTCACAGAATGCCTCGGCTACACGGGCGTCTAGTTTCAACAGAAGTTGGAGTGATCGTAAGAGCTCTTCCGCCAAGTCCTCTTTGTAAGGAAGCAATCGTTGGCAGATGCGCAGCAACCCAAAAACCGCCTTCTCCACCAAAAGACCCGGAACCATAGACGTCTGAACAATACCTGCCATGTGTTCGTAAACCATCTGCCAAAGAAGCATAATCCGATCCCTGTTGTTCAAGGTGATAGCAATAAGTAGCTCCAGACAAAAAACCGCTGTATCCTCGTCCTCTGGTGAGCTTCCACCCTTGTGAGGCCTTCCAGCGGCCCAGATAAGGGCTCTGGCGAGTTGCAACAGTGACTCCGCTTGCAAAAACTTGCTATCTGAGAAAATGTTATCAATGTGACAGGCTTCAATGGTTCGAAGCGTCTTCTGATGAGCAGCGAGTTGTTGCTCGGTGGGTTGAGTTCTGGGTTCATCCACGTCAAGCGAAAGAAGCTGACTAAATCTACTCATCAATCCTGTCGAGCGGCGTCTGTTTCCAGCTGAAGGTATTACAGCTAGAGATAAGTTGCCGGACATGACCCTACCCTGAGCTGAGTCTCCACCGGCGTCTGCATCGTCAGTCGCATCACTTGCTACCCGAGAAGGCAAGAGGCCTAATTTGTGAAGGCGCAGTATACAATCAAGAATGTTTCGCCACCCTGTCCGCACGTAATCTCCCCACTTATTTGCGATGGTGAAGACCGTGACTGCCGCCATACGCGCCTTGGTGTCATCACCGAAAACCACTACAGGCTCTTCTGCTGATGCAGTGGGGTTCAAGAGCGTAGTGAATTTGCAGAGAGAAACGACGAGGTCATCCAAAACATCCTCCAGCCGGTGGCTAGCTGAAATTTTGGCAACAGCTAAGAAGCCATCCACGCATGATCTTAGGACATCCTCATCCTCTGCATGGTCAAAAACCACTGAAATGGCAGCAATCGTCGGCCCCGAAATGATAGCAAACATGTCATGGTCTAAGAGCGGACGAGAATCGCATTTGATGTATGGCGTGGAGGAGCGCGAGCGTCTCATGAGGTCCACCCAGCGGCTGTGTGTCATTTCTGGGACTCCTGCACCGTTGTCATAAGAGATACGGATCTCGTTCCTGGCAATTGAATGGTAGAGCTCGGCTAACATCTCCCGCGGAAGATCTTGCTTCCCGTTTATGCCACGATTGTTTCTGATGAAGTCCTCTTCCGTCATTTTCCTCTTCACCTGTGGATTGTGCAGGTCTGTGTTCAAAATGATTATAGAATATGCCAGAGTGAAAGCAGCATCTTCATTGGCAAACACCACAGGCGACTGCTCGTAGTATCTTTGAGCAAAAGCCTCCAGCACTCTTTGAATCTTTTGTGCCTCACCAGGCAACCGAAAGCTCTCCAAAAATGTCCGCAAAGCAGCATCTAAGCTCATGTCACTGAAGTCAAAAGTTTTGGCCAATTCCTGTAGCACTTGCACACAAAACTCATCATGATCACCCAAGAAGTCTCCCAACAGCCTTTTATCCAATCCAGTCGTGTACCTGAAAAAACACGCCACACTCTTCGGATCAAGGTTTTTCGGCAGAAGGCGTATTCCCTGCAGGAACTCGAGTCCTTTCTTCGGATCCCTGTTGAAATGATCAGCACCTATCATCAGCCTCCGTTTGATATACTTTTGCTGCCTGACGAACTCAACCCAACATGAGGGATCCTCGTAGCTTGGACACTTTAGTGTCCAGAACGGAACGAAATCTGGGGCGTCAGTGTAGTTCACCATCTCCAGCTGAGGGGTAACTGGCAAGGAATCTATCCTGTCTGCCATGCTGTGAATCACAGCAAGAAGGCCTTCCAAGGCCAAGACATGCATGGCTGACAGCGGGCAATTCACTGGAAAGGCGCTCTTGGACAGCAGATTCCCGATATCCTCAAACGCATTGCTGCAGATGATGTCACAGTCGAAGTTGGCGTACATTTCGGCCATGAAGGTGGGCTGGCGACAAAAATCTACCAGGGCTTCCATGGCCACTTCTTGCTGCTGATACGCAGCTCCATACTTGCCCTGTGCAAGCCTTATGACGACGTACACAAAGAAGGCTTCTATTTGAAGCTTCAAAAATGTACCTAGGTGATGATAAAGATTAAGGACAATACTGCATACCATGGACAACACGGGCGGGGTGAAGGACAGCCCCATCTGCATGAGGTTTCTGAAAAGCTCATCCTGTACAAGAGCCAGTAGCTTCGGATGATAGCCGAAGGATTGTCCTCCGAGCTCAATGGCCGTGTTTATCAGGCCCAATGCGAACAAAGGTACCTCCTCATCACTGGCGAGCAAACTGTGCCCAGGACCGGTAGGATCCGTGATATTTAGCAAAGAACATAAGAAGTGGAATATCTCCACCATACAAGGCACACCATACGGTTCCAAAGCAGGTGATCCGTCCTTGTGAGACTTGTCCTGATCTGCTTTGTTTGATACCACGAGCGCCATTTTCTCTCTGCTTGGAGGCCTGGGAGGTTTCCTTGGAAGAGTATCCTCAGCTTGAGAATCAGGTTCTGACCTTTCTGGTTCTCTGGTGAAACCTTCTGAATAACCATCTTCTCCAGAAGCACCGTTCGAAGTAGAAGGATTCGTCCCTTGAGACCTAGAGCTATCCTCCGTAGATAACCTCTGAAACCACACAGTTACATCTTTCAAAAACTGCACATGGGAATTTCCAAAGTTCCAACAATCTGCTGAAAATTCCAACCGTGCAAGCCAAGGGGCTCAGAAATAATTCAAGACATCTCGCATTTCTACATAAGAAGTACAATGGAAAGACCATTTCAGTCTTTCTGTGATTATCTTTCATTTTGTAAAAATGCCATCCCTTCACGAAGACAGCCATCAACAACCAGCTCATTACAATTCTTTTCAAAAATGTAGTCGAAGTTATCTGCAGTCAAATGCCTCAGACATTCTACCGGCTGGTGCATAAGTCATGAGAGGAATTTCGGCAAGAACAAGGCCCTTGCCAAAAGTTCTGTAGATGGTGCGCAACAACCGTTCAAACAATATTCCAAACCTGAGTTATGAACGGTGAGGCATGACGTGTGCTAAGCTGGTGAGAAAAACTACAGGAACCGCTCATCTCATATCTTGGAGAAGAAGGGAGGGAGGGATGCCGGGGGGAAGAGAGGAAGAAAAAGTACATGAGGAGCAGCTTCAATGCTGCCATTTCCGGTGGCTTCGACATCGTTGACAGCTCCAGGGGTTGGATCAAGGTCCGGCAAATGAGAAAATATTGTCCTGACCAATTCGTGCATAGTATGACGAGCAGTTCTTTGCAAAAGCTCCCCCTTGCTACCAGCCTGGTGAACGACTCGGAAGCAAGTGTTCACGACCACACACACGTCTCTGTTGCTCAAAACGAGACCGGCCCCACACTTCATACATGCGAGCAGTACTTGTAAGATCTTCATCAAGACCACTTCTTCCGAAGCTGGATCCGTGACTTCGAATCGACAACTAGTGACTGCGTCCACAATTCCATGGATGGCTCCTTCCACAGACACGGTTTTAACATCAATAATGTCTAGGGTAAGAATTTTATAGACAGCAGAGAGGGCAACGCCGGTGATTGGAGCTCCGGTCTCATCAGATCTGATCACGTCCAAGAAAGGAGACAGGTAGAAAGAGGGGTTCACAGACTGCCATCCCGGAGAAGAAGGGGATTGCCATGTGAAGATCTTGCGACGGAGTGTCTTCAGATTGCGTATGAGGGAATGTTCCATAGGCTCGTCGCCAGAGATGTACCGCCCTGCCCATCGAGCATTCCTACGCATGACCGATAGCACAGCCCCGACTTCCGCATTTACCATACAAGCTAGAGCACCTGCAGTCCTCGTCCGTCCTTTCCTGCCCGTGGCCTCATCTCTTTCCTCCCCGGAAGGAGAGTACCCGAGCTGACTCTGCGTAGATCGTCCCATCGTGCCTAGCGCAAGTTGTTGTCAGAAGTGGTGCACCCGCTTCACTAGCCGGCACCCCGCCTTCCCATTCCCGATGCAAGGCCGTGCAATTGACTCATACTGCTATGCCATCACTGCCATTAGAGACCGGTGCACCACGTAAGTCACGAGAATTGCCCAGATCCATCCCAACTCAGCCAAACCAAACTGACCACAAACACCAAAACTCAGGCGCGCTCAATCGACAAATCACTCGACCCACCACAATGCCCGCTCTCTTTCCCGACGCCCTCCTGCCCGGCCTGCCTGCTCTTGCACTCGCACTGACTCCTCAATTCCTCAACCCCAAAACTCAACACCCCCCGCCCGATCGCACCTCGAACAAAATCCTTCCCCCACGCGCGTCTCCTCCTCCTCCTCCTCCTCCACCACCCCGCCCGAACATCACTCAGCCTCCGACCCGCAGACGACCACAATCGATGAAAGAAAACGAACAGCGAGTCAAACCAACAATCAACTCCTCCTCCTCCTCTGCCTCCACAATGCACCCACCTCCGCAGCCCAGCTGCTCCCCCGCTCGCCTGCTGTGCGCTCCCGCCCGCCTGCCCGCCCGATCAATCACTCAATCAATCGCCCGAAACAGCAGAGCAAAGCGAAACGCAACGCAACGCAGCGCGACGCGACGCGACGCCAAGGCCGAGCCTGGCAGCAGCAGCAGCAGCACCGAGAGGAACCTCACACTCCCCGACTACCCTACTCGCGACCATGCTCTCCCCCTCCCTCCCTCCCTGCCGCACTCCCGACAGACATTCGGTTTCCCACAAGCCGAGCCTCCTCCTGCTGCTGCTGCAGCCGACGGACGGCAACAGCACGTCGCCGGACTCGCCTCGACGAGGTCGGTCTCTCTTCCTTCTTTCCTTCTGCGACCTCTAGCACGACGACGTCAAGGTTCCACGGATCCTCGGCACGTTGGTTTGTACGTATGGAACGGAGGCAGGACGGATTTGGTTTGTTTCGTAACAGAACTCTCTCGATTCCGGAGTGACTGAGTGAGGGAAGACGCCCAACCGCGTACTTCACTTTACGGTGATGTGGTTACTCCTCACTATCCTGCGATAAGCTCGCGACGGAAGGGGCCGGCCTTTTAATCGTCGGTCTTCGAGAAATGTATTTTTCGGCATTCTCTTCTTCCACGATCTTCTCTCCACGCATGCCTTTCGGTAAAGGGGAAGACAAGTGCAGATGGATATGATGGCATCATGAGCATTGGTGGGAGTTTAAATGGGAAAATAATTAAGTACATTATAATAGTATTTACTGGTTGTGGTTTTGCTTCCACTCGTGGCTACATTAAAAGAGAGTTTAAATGATGCACTGAACATCTCTCAATGGGTAAGATTTGTGTCTAAAAGATCGTGAACAAAGATCATGATGAAAGTCACTTGAGACACTCTCTTGAAACAAGAGACCACGTTCAGATTTGACATTTCGGAGTTTGACAGGGTGGTGAGAAGACCTCCGTTTACAAGTTATCTTCCGAAGGCCGGGTTTACGCAACTTAATACCAACATTTGCTACTACTTCACGTGTTTCCCGCATATCTTACTTTATCATCGGCGAAGTGGATTATTAGAAAGGTATAAATATGTGACAGAATCCTATGGGTCCCAGATTGAAGTGGCGTAAGGATCTGCTGTAGACAAGCCATTAGAGCTTATATCATCATGATGACTTTGATGTGCAGGTACAATTTTGAAGTGGTGAGCATTGTTGCCATTAAACACATTGTTCTTATCTTTTCTCTAGATTGAGTGATTTGTATCATCTCGTGTCTTCCTTGTACTGAATGATCCGATGTAAAGTTTCCTTGTTGCCATCCGTTGTTTGATCACATCATAGTTAAGTTGGATGACTTGCAACTTGAGAGTTGACAGAGAACCATGTTACAACTTTCATACTTCACACATTTTCCGACAAATGTTAATCAAATTTTATAACCTCTCAGTCTCATGAAAATCCGTCTACTCAATTACAATTAGATATGTATACTTCAAATTATATGTATACGGTCTCACAAGTGATAAGGTCAGCCAAACTCCATCTGTGTAGAAAACTGCACTGAATACAAATGATTTCTTGCATTTGTTGCTCTTATTAAGAAATTCTATATACATAACCCTTCTAAACTAAAATTATATAGATTATTCGCAATGCAAAAGGATCATTTTCTTCAAACATTCTGTTCATCTCGCCTTTATTTGATAAATAATTCCTCGATATATATATATCGACGTTCAACTAAATTTATCTTCACAACTTACACATGCACTAACACAAAATGAAGAGCACAAATTTACACAAATATGGAAAACTGTCCATATCTGAAATTAATGTGAAACAATTCAATCTTATTGGCGAAATGATTACCTACAATCCAGAAACAGTTACTATTACACATTGTACGTCTGGATTTAACAGGATTTATTTTTTTAAATTTACAATATCCGGCAGTAGAACATTCTTCCTCTTCTTATAACAAATATTCATTGTTCATGTGTAAATACTGAAGAGTTTAAAACTTAAGGCTTCATGATAATACATATAATACTCTAATTTTGGTTACAAAATTTTTTGTAAATCAATATCTCCTATCATTGATATTAAAAGGTTCTGTGTGGGGGGGAATCTAAATTTAGAGAAAAAATGTATAAAAAAACCTATGTTGATGAGTTGAATTCCTTACTTTTACCGGTCTCAACTGATAAATTTAGCATGTATGCTGAAATGTATTTCATGATATTAGTGACATATATCTCTAGAAATGATAAATCTACAACACTACAGAATTCAAAACAATATTGGGAAATATTGTCAAAACCAATGAGTTGAATGATCTAATTCAAGCTTTTTCTAGTATACGAGTTAAAACCTCCAACTTCAGATAATCTTCGAATTCGCGCAAGTTAAGTAGTTCATCATGACGTATTCCTACATATTTAATCTCTTCATGAGATTTTTTTCAAGATTTTTTCAGCTTAAATTTCTGTGAATTAAGGATGTTTATGAAATATGCTTTGATATTTGAACTAAAATTACATACACATTATATAATTGCCTCCTCAAGAAATCTTGACACTATAATCTATATTTAAAAAATCCATATGTTACAATAACATGTATGATATATTATTTTAAGTTCTTTTACACCAAGTCACAAATTGTTTTTAAATTACACAAGCTTTATCAAATTTGAATTTTGTACACTTTTATTTTTTGAATAAAAAATCAATTTAAATATTTCTTTTTCCAGAATTATTATATCATAATAAAAAATAACATTTGCATTACATGTATACTCTAAAATGTGCATTGATGATTTTTTATTCAAATAAAGTGTAATGAAATTTTATAAATTATAATTGATTAAATTATTTGAATAATAATAATAATAAACTATATATATCTATACATTTTCATTTTATTTATAATCTGTGAACGCGTTGTAGAGGTTAACTCCTACTAAAGAGTTATATCGGTCCTAGCTAAAGTTAATTAGGAAATGTTGCCGGAACGGGAATATTTAGCCCCAAAGAAATCCATGTCCGTTTGTCGTGTACAAAGACTTAAAAAGTGTGAACCACGTTATCTTTTGCATCAACTCGTGTTATGTTACTTTGCCAGGTCATTTAATTCTCGTTTAAATTCTATTACATGTGTTTAAGAACCTCATAATCGACAATTTTAAAATATTATCATAACAACCTTTATTTGGTTTCTAGCTTGAAAAACATTATCATAAATTGATATGTTTAATGTTTGTGTACATATAAAACGTTCAAATAAATATTTTTAACTTGAAAATAAAATATGATTTATCAAACAGCAGTTTTTATATATTTTTAACTAATAATAAGAGTTTCATTAGCTAGTTTTGTGATCTAACATAAAATCATTATTTATTTATTTATTTATTTTGTTCAAATTTGTAAGTATTCCAAAATTCAAAAATCTCAATTTACATTTGTTAGCATTATTATGAAAATTATGTGTTATGAATATTGTAATAATTTAATTTAATTAATTAATATTAATAAAAAAATATTATTTTGCATCACTATATTAAGTTTTTATTGAAACTATATAGCAAATTATGTTTGGACAAAATGTGTGTGAAAGAAATTATGCTACTGGAATATCTTCAATTAGTTTTCATTTTGGATATTATCAACTTGAGATATTTTTCCTTAAATTGATTTGTAGATAGAATTATCAAGTATTAGATAAAATTCAATTTCTGATATCAATTTTAATTTGAAATTTGAAAACATGCCGTAGTTAAAACCAAAATTTATAAACTTGTTCACATTAATTAACTGTGGCGAGTTCTTTTTATACCTACATTTTTCTAGTTTATTTCGTATTGATAGTACATTTTTTGGGTTTAAATATTAAATATCTAATTATATGGTTTTGAATCAGTTACAATAAAGATGGAATGATATATTTAATCAAAAAATATTTCTATGAGCAAAATCCTATATATTTTTTGAATAAGTATGTATCAACGATACAGGATTTTTTCTAAAGACTACAGCAAGGATACAATCTTTAAACTTTGTAGAATAATTTAATGTTTATACGTTATAAATTTGCTCAATTGATAAAACATCGTTATGAATGGCTTTTGGTTGTTCTTAAAGAATTTTTTTGTATATGGTTCGAAGTATATGGATACCAAGATACTTTCGTTCGCATTATAGCTTTATTTTTATAAGTTGAATTGTATACATGGGCAAGTGGATAACTAAAAGAGATGATTATACGCCATCAAGCCAATCGTATAAGAATAAAGCCCAGCGGACAACCAGGTACCAAAAGTATAACAATGATGAAATGATGATTCTGAACGTAATAAGAAAAACGTAAGAAGATCACAACTCAGATTGCATTTTGAATTGAAAATATCGAGAACAAATCTATTCAATATTTAGTAATTCGATAAACTGCGATGGCCCATTATCACGTCGAACACGAGTCTGGACACAACTTGTAAATGAAGTCAGGTTAGAAACAGAATCGGATTCTTTGAAGAACTTAACACTTAATAAAGCAATTGGATTTTGATTCTATGACACATTTCATGTGCCATATTTAGCACCGTCCAAGAGTTTATAGCAGAGCTTAGAAAATGCCTTTTATTATATTTGATTATTCTCCTCCTATATAGGGGACCAATGTGTGTAAGCTCAGAAAGTGATGATCTTCGTCAATAACACCCATCAGAAATGAAAGTGAACGTACGTCGCCAGGATGGTCTCCACTTGGTCTTCTCAGTAAGAAGGCAAAAGGGAAAAAGGAAGAGAAAAACTAGTGGAAATCGAGGGCGAATATGTAAAGATGTAGAACATATTTACAAGATGCCCCAAAGGGTGCAAATCAGCAGATCAGCCAATGGAATCTTAGACTGAATATGAAACATTGTACGTGGTGGCTTACTGCAACGTGGTTTTCAAAGTGCACCGGAGCCTGTGGTACTGCGCCAAAGAGCAGGGAGAGTGGAAGGAAGCCAGGCGGGGTAGAGGGAGGGTTTGTAGAGGTGGATTGACACGAGGTTTGCTTGGCAATCTGGGAATGGAGATGGCGGATTGAACATCGGTAGGCGAGAGAGGAGAGGATACGTGAGGCGATGTCCGAATGCAGTCCGAGGACTGAAAGGGAAGGAGAGCAACGAGGATCGGCGGGGCAGATTTTGGCAAAGCAGGGAGGGAGGTCGTAGAACCTGCTTGGAGGATTGTCAAAATTCGGTGTAGGAGAATAGACGCATCAGGATGCCACCCAAGGCAGCACCAGCCAAGGGCGCCAAGGAGAAGTCGAAGGCGGATCTAGCGAAGAAACAGAAGCTTGTTGAAGATAAGACCTTTGGACTCAAGAACAAGAATAAGAGTAAGAATGTCCAGAAGTATGTGCAGAGCCTTCACCAATCTGTCTCTGCTAAGGCTAACCCCGTGAACGATCCAAAGGCTGCAGCGAAGGTTTGTGCACTTTGCCCGTTTCGTTTTGGCATGCAGATCTTCCTGGTTTTGAAGATTGTCGAGCAGGAGTCGGAGATTCTGATTTTGGATTTTGACTCGCAGAAAAAGAAGGAAGAAGAGGCACAGAGAGAGAAAGAGTTGAATGAGCTATTCAAGGTTGCTATCAGCCAGCCGAAAGTGCCGCTTGGTATGTTTTCACGGTCGTTGGCCTCATCGTTTTTCAACGTGCTAGGGTTTGAGGTGTCTCACAAGGTGTCTGCAGTAGCATTCACCCCTCTTGCATGCCTGTTCGGCCAACTGAATTCAATCTCTGATAATCTACAGTTTTGCTGTCGACGATCATGCATTTGGAAATTGTTTTGTCCAACTTAGGGTTTTACATTAGTTCCGTCAGGTGGATGAAATCTGCTCTTATAGATTAGGGTTTTTCCAATTTTGGTTGAACATTCCGGCATTTCAAAACATACTAACTTATCTCTTCTCCGCGCAGGCGTGGATCCGAAGTCCGTTGTCTGCGAGTTTTTCCGACATGGGCAATGTGCGAAGGGATTCAAATGCAAGTATTCCCATGACCTGGGTGTGGAACGTAAGGGAGAGAAGATCGATCTCTACAGTGATCAGCGTGATAATGGTACGTCTATAGAGTTTGATTTCATCTCCGCTTTAAGTTAGCTGGAACTATCTCCTGTTAGAACTGACTTTTTTGTTCCACGCGTTGTACAGAGGATGGCATGGAAGAGTGGGACCAGGAAACCCTGGAGAAAGTAGTGGAGTCTAAAGGACAGGAATACTCTCACAACAAACCAACGGAAATTGTAAGCACTTTTGCGCATCTCAAATTTTCTAGCTTCTGCAGATGAAATCCCAATCCTTCTCTTGTGCTGATAGAAAAAATAGAAGAAAGGCAATGGTATCCTGAAGTTCTGTTTATGTTCACTTCTGTGTCCAGGTTTGCAAGCATTTCTTAGATGCAGTCGAGAAGAAGCAGTACGGTTGGTTTTGGGTTTGTCCTAATGGAGGCAAAGATTGTCATTATAGACATGCCCTACCTCCGGGCTATGTTCTGAAGTCTCAGATGAAAGCTCTTCTTGAAGAAGAAGGGGAGAAGTTGTCCGTGGAAGAGGAGATTGAAAGTCAGGTACAAATCAACTATTTATTTTGTTGGACTCCTTTGTTGAAAGCATTGAGGAGTTCTTTCTCAGCTCTTGAACAACCGGCAAAACATCCGGTTGATTTTTTCACAAGGAGTATTGTATCACATTATCTTAAACTTGCTTATTAGACAAATTTTGTTTTGAATCATTTCTCAATTCCTCAATAATGAATGTTGCTGCAATCCAAGCTGACGAAACGAGTCTCCACTTTCATACCACTCATTTTGTAAATGATTACCAAGTTATTTTGCTCTTCCAAATTCTTATCTTCTTCCTCCTTCTTTCTTCCGTCCTACTAAACTTTTTCTGTCCATTCAATAGTAGCACAATCGAGCCAAAATCTTCAAATTACTGCAAACAAAATTTGGAGAACATTCCGTGATCATGTCTGACTTTGCCGGAACTAGAATATAGAAGACGCTAATTTGCACTTGTGTGTACGGTTAGTCCTCTTCTTGAGTTCAGAAGATTCACCGCTTCTCAAATGATATGGTTTGACATCGTTTTTGATTGAACATTTGATGTTTTAGGGCACCATGGACAACCAACAGCATCCAACTAGTTGGTGGGATGAAAGTACAGTCCTAATTACTCTTATTGGGTTTTGTACACAGAGACACCAACTCAAACAATCTACCCCAATCACGGGTGAACTTTTTGCCAACTGGAAGAAAAAGAAATCGGATGAAAAGGAAGCTGAACTAGCCGCCAAGAGAGCTGAAAGAGCCAAGATGGACAGGATGAGGTACAGACTCTTGCATGTTGTGTGGTACAAGTGCTTAGGTTATTTTTTCCGCATATTTTGGTTCGAGTTAACTCTCTTGCTTGACTTTAACATATTGTTTGTGGCTGCATTTGGGTACAGTGGACGCGAACTTTTTGCTGCAGACGCAAGTCTGTTTGTGGATGATGCCGAGGCTTTCGATAAATACCAAAGAGAGGATGAGGAGCAAGAAAGTTCTCGGCCTTCTGATCGGCCTGCTGAGGTACTTTAAGCCCCATATAAGCTATTACTAGGCCTGGCCATTGTGGATCAAAATCCTACCTGATTTTTGGTGCAGTCCATGCTCTTCTCAGTTTTGGTCTTATGCTCTTCACTTGTTTGCTGCAGTCTCAGCAAAACAGGCAAAATCAAGGAGGTGCCGACTCGGTGGCTACATCTGTGGACCTTATTACTGAAGAGGATGCACAACTTCTGGCAGAAGATGATGACGAGTTGGACCTTGACGAGCTGGATGAACTGGAATATAGCATTGCCAAAACCTCTCTGGATGACACGTAAGCAAACGATATGTCATGCGTCACATTATAATGGGATACTGTGTTGTTTTGTGTATGTGCATTCCAGTGAATAACTGCTTAGGCGACTTAGTCTAGTTAGTTATTTGAAAATGTAGAAATAGCGTTTTAGGTCCTTGTCCAAACATATAACTGCTGGGTTATTCAATGTTGACTAAGTACCGCTATCTAGAGGTTGTATACACCAGTGATTCCCTATTGTGTGTCGGCATGAAGCATTTGTTGTGAGATTTTGCTAAAACATCTATTTAAATTTTGACTAGAAACGGGCTTCTCATATCTTCTGAACAGAAAGGTTCAGAATCTCTGCATGGAGTTGCATCTTCTGCAACCCACATTGTAGTAATATCAATATGTATTCACGTCATAGAGACCTTATGTTCCTCCACACCAGTCAAGATTGACGGTTTGAGTGGTTTTATAGCAATTGGAGCAACGATGCTCGATGGTCATCAACCAGCTCGAGCTACACGACTATCGAAACTGATTCCAAGTATTGAAGAGATGGCTGATATGGTTTGTTTGCTCTGGGCTGAGTTTTGAACTGTGTTGTACATATGATCGTGGACTCCATGTCAGCTGAGGAGAAGTTTGTGCTCTTCCTTTCCGAACTATTTGGGGTTCTATCACGACCTTTTCCCCTCACACTAATTAGGAATCTGTACAATATCGGACAGAACTAAATCAATCTGGTGGCAGCCATTCTATCATGAGCCATGCTATTGTTCTCCACGGTAGTTGCTCTAATCATGACAAGTGACACCTAGCTCCTGATATCATCAGTCTAAAAGCTCTCATGACCTCGGAAAGTCAGGTTGTGTTATCTTGCAGTCTAAGAGTGATGTATCAATCTTGCATCTTTGTGTTGCTTGAACTTGTTTCACATCTAAACGGAATGGCTATTGAATTGTGAAGACGAATTGTAGCTACCAAGTCAAGTGTTAGCTATATGATCAAATTTGATTCAGTGAGCATGAGTTTATTGAATTGAGCTCCAGAGTCTGTGAGAGGAACCGGAAGCAAGATTTTTTATTGTTTTTAGCCATCATTTAGGAAAAATGACTACTGCACTCACCTTTTTCAATGATGAAGTTCCAATCTTTAGCCCCTTTTCCGTTGTGCGGTAGACTTGGAACTTCACACACAGCAGAACTTAGTCGGCTTTGTGTCCGTTGATGCGGGAAGATTTTTGAGTCCTGAACGCCAGTCAAATATCCAATTGAGCAGACCACATAGGCGTTGGTCTATTTTTACACAATCGTTAAAGCTGTCAATGTCTTCACATTAATTTAAACTTGTGGACCCGAGAGTCTAGGTCAAAGTACATCATTTCATCCTATACATCATCATCAAACTCTACCATCGTGAACCAGTATTTCCATTGGTTGCTTATTGTGGAATCGAAACCCGGCTAATTGAACCGCAGGTGGTCTTGCAACTACCCTCTGGAAGATCATGTGCACCCTGGGTTGGGTGGACGAGGCAGCTCTTCGTATAACATACCGGGTCATCGAGTCCTGTGTTGGTGGTTCAAGGTGTGAAACACTGCCAGCAAGATCACGAAATCAAATCAGTAAACGTGAGCGTCTCACTCTCCCGTGAATTGTCTGGATATTGTGCCGCAGGTAAGCACGTTATCCAAGAGCAACGAACGTCATTTACTTGGGACGTGTATGGTGAAGGAAGCACTTTAGCTCGGAGTCCGGAGCCAACTTGGCAGACATATCGCTCACACTACCTCATACCAATGAGTATGACCAATCGCTTCTAAGCAAAGAGCATTGCCAAGTGACTGAAGTTTGCACGTCCACGATGTATTCACAAGTTTGGAACCAGAGGGCCACCTCTGCAACAGCCCAAACACTATTGTCACAATACCAAGCTCTAATGCCGAGCACCGAATTCAGACTTCGAATGTACTGTGAGGCTAATATGCCCAAAGTCAAAGAGCCTGGAAAGGATGGGGGATGCCATCCGTATCACATAATAGGACAAACCAACGTTAGTATCATTTATAATAGTAAACTTTATGAAACCTTTGTTATCACTATTAATTAGATTGTTACATTATTCCATCTATTGCTTTCAAGATCGTGTCACTCGGTCTGGATAGCAAAGAACGGTTGAACAGCAGTCTGTAGGAACTGCTGTTTTGTAGATTCTTTGTTTAAAACTGGTACGGGAACTCGAACCTTAGCTCTTTGACTCTATACTCCCAATTGGCATATCTCGATTGCGTTGAGAGTTGAAAAGTCTCTTACGAAATGTTCAGGAGTATTTTTCGTTAATTTTATTGTGTGTATACTGCAACACTTTGTTTTTATTGCACTAGGCCCACGACAATATCGGGGCCTAGCCCCTGGTTTCATGTTTGTTTTCTCCATTCTTGATGGGGTCTTCCCATCTTCTTTGATATCTCATTGGACGCCCTTCGTTTTATGTTTTTTGCATGTACGATACTTCCAGCGCAAACTTTTAAATAAAATGTTGAACAATCAACTTTTTGCTCCTATCTTTGCGTTTAAGGATGGTGTGCCCACGGAGCAATTTCATCAAAATTAAAGTCAAAGTTACTTAAACCAAGTCACAATATTGAGTGAAATCTTCTGTGATACTACATTTTCGCTCTCCACTTTTACATTATGTTCTAGTGGTTAAAACAAACAATTCTTTTTGGTTAGGCTGCATTTCTCCACAACGAAGTAGCGGATGAATTTAGGATTGACTTTAGATACTATGACCTTCCTTTCGGAACTTGGCGTAGAATCCGGGATATCATTAAAATTAAATTTTCTGAGCTATTTGCCATCTAGAAATATAATATGTGTATCACAGATACACATATTATATTATCTACACATACACATCATGTTCTAAGATTATGGTTAGCAAGTTTATGTACTGTATGGTCAAGCCACATCTATTCCGAGAGGTTCGCTCTAGTTTTTATGCAATAATTTTCGAATGGAACCGAGTACTTAAAGTGCATAATTCTGTAAAATCCCGAAAAGGAATCTATGTGAGGGTTACTTTGTGAGGAGCAAGAACAATCATTTTCAGGCCAATGGAACCGAGTACTTAAAGTACATAATTCTATCGAATCCCAAAAAGGAAATTATTCCAGGGTTACTCTGTAGGAGCATCAATAATTTCTAGGCGAAGTTTCTGTCTATTTCTCAAATGTGTGAGCAGGAAAGGCTTGTTGCTAGGGTTCACGAATCGCACTATAAATTTTGATCTTCTATCCCGGCAAAGAAAATGGCCTACAAACTCCAATGAAGGGTGGGAAAATCGTGAGGGAAACTATTTTGCTTCAAACAGAGTCCAGTATGAGTAAGGCCTTCAGTTCCATGCTTCAAGGAGAGTTATGCATTTCGTTGAGGGGAAGAGAAGCGTACTAGGGGTTCAAATGCCTCACAGCGATCCTCATCCGAAAAAAATGTTTATGAGAAATCAGTGTCGGAATCGAGAGCGAGACATTGAATCAGTGTCGTCCGCAAGCTGTCGATGAGCGGAGTCTGAATCGAAGAAGTGGTGTCCTAATACTTGCACGGCAGTGCTCCACCCGTCGAGGCGAGGTGAGCAATGGTGGGGGCGGAATTTAAACTCGGTGATTGCCGAAATTGGAGAGAAGCCGAGTACAAGACGGCATTACGAGCGGAAAGAATCGCAAAATCGCGGACTGTTTTTTCTGCCATTTTCACTCCATGTAAATCATCTTCTCCGGAAATGGTCGCCACGGCTTCCAGCGACGGACGTGTTGCAGTCTACTCCATCGAGCCTCCCGGCTGTTCCCAAGTACTGACGGAACCTGCAATCCTTGGAATCATGGTTTCATGATCTTTGCTCTATGAGTTGAATCCATTCACGCGAGACCTTTAAGAGGTTTGCTGAATTTGACAATCAGCAGTGGGATTCCTCGCGTCTTGGAAGAAGGCTGAGGATGGGTAGTTCAAGACGAGAATTTTTCATTTTAGTATGCTTCGGTTCGGTAAAGCTACGGTAAACAAGTACCGCAATATTATTTTAATTTGTAATAACAAGGAGTCTAGAATCCCAAGTATCCCATCAAGATCAGCTCATTTCTTTGATGTTGGAGAATTTTCGAACGTGAACAGAGTATGCGGATAGCCTGTGGAGCGTAGGGAGGGACGCGAGGACTAGAACCTCTTGTCGCATGCCCTGCTCTAGTAGAATTCCACGTGACTTTTTTTCATTTCTGTTTTCTCAGCTCAAAAAAGTGGACGAGAGCGAATTGCAATTGCAATGGTAAGATTATCTTCTTCGAGACAACAAAGACCCTTATATGGCAGGCGGTCAAGCAATGTCGAGGGTACATGCTTGAGTGACGTCAATGCTCGCATGCTTGTACGGCAATGTTATTTGAATTGATAGTTGGGTCTGGTGAATTGGACTCATTTCGAATGTGATAATGGCAGTCCAGCATCGTCGGAGCCATTAATCACCCTGGGAAAGCATGATGGCCCTGCCTACGACTTGCTCTTGTATGGAGAGGGAGAGAATTCGCTTCTTTTGAGGTATGTTAAAAATTCGACCTGTATTCACCATTATCTTTTGATTGATTTCGAACCATTATCAACCATCTGAGATATGTGATCTTGTAACAACTCTTGGACAGTATCAAAATTTCTGCTCAAGTCTGGCAAGTTCACTCAGTGTCTGCTGCTCTTTACACAGCTGTGGCGATGACGGTCGTATACAGGGATGGCGGTGGGACCAAGTCTCAGAACGTTTGCGAGCTGGAGAGAAGTCCGGTCTGTGAGCTGAACCCATCGCTGTGTTGATTGGTTTTGGTCGCTTTTGTGTGCGTCAATATCTATCCTGAGATTTCGTCTGAACGAACTCTGTAATTTAAGATCCATCTGTAGACTAGTCAGAATTACTGCTGAATCTAAGTACTGAGACGTGCCAGCTGGGAAATCGTTTCAATTTGGCAGGGGATCCAGTCGTTGACCTGAAGAATCCACAACAAAAGTAAGCCTCAATAGTTGTCGCTGCATAGGAGAAGTGACTTTGTCTCAATTGATCTGCTGCTGCAAAATTGTCGTGCTAGCGCTAGTTTTGGGGACTTTGCTTGTATATAAAAGCTTTCTATATCACGGCATGCATCATGCGAAGCTTACACAACCTAACTTACTCATGCTATTTTTTAAAAGTCGGACAACATATTACTCGTCTCATCAAATGCACATCCTCAGTCTACTCTCTCACATCTGTGCATGAAGTCTTTCTGTTTCATGAAGAGTCAAGAGGTCATACGTATATCAAACCTGTAAAGGACAAACTTTAGAATCTTGCAGAGATTTACAGATCATGCTCTTCTGTGCGTTCACAGGGGTCCCCGGAGTGCTCTTTCACCAATTCCAGAAACAAATGCTCTAGCAGCCGATGTACAGGTGATTGATCTGTTTAAGGAAACCAGAACTAAAAACCACAGTTCAATCAGCAAAACGATAGGCTTTGCACATCTCCTTTTTATTATTAATTCATTATTTTTTTTCTTAATGAGAAGTTTTGGCGATGCGTTATACTTCCACCGTCTTGAAACTTACTGAACCATTGCAGGCCAATCGTCTATACTCAGCAGCTGGTGACGGATGTGCATATGCTTGGGATATGGTATGGTCATCCTCCATTTGCACTTTCTCTGCTATGGATGCATGTGATACATTCCACCAGGATTAGTTGGTGAAATAACAGGTTCTTGTGCGCTCAGGGCACACAGAGGTTCTGCTCTGCAGGACAACCTCTGTGTCAAAATGAACACGATCCTGCAGAGCATGATCGTGTTCAATTTGACCTCCGGGACCAGGAATACCTCATGCTTTTAGGTAATTGTACTCTCGCTCATTGTTGCCTTTGCTGCTGAGTATATAGCCAAGATTGAATCAGATTTGTCAATGGCTTGAAATATCAGGAGACTGGGCAGTCAGTTATGGTTTATGATGGGCACTCCGACTATCTGCACTGCATAGTTTCAAGAGCTTCTCAAAATCAGGTGCGCGTTTCTTCTGAACTATTCTTGTCGTGCCCTTGTCGATAATATCTGGTTGATTCGAATAGTTTTGATGGCGGATGTGAGACTTAAGATAGCTAATCCATTCTCTTCCAAATTCATGCATTCCTGGATTCAAGCAGATAGTGCATTAAATGTGTTCATTACGATGTCCTTATTTCAGTTCTAATGTCACAGATTATTACGGGTTCTGAGGACGGCGCGGCAGTTATATGGGGTATGTCCATCCATAAAAGACATCGACAATTAAACCCTCTTGATGTTAAGATTCAGCAACATTTTTTGCGTGGTTTGGAAGGTGAAGATTTCAAGGAAACCTTGCATTACAGCAGTCACATAACCCGATACTTGTTGACGCCGTCAGATTGCAGATCGGGAGAGCGCGTTGCTATTTTAGATCCCTATAAAGCTGTGAGAGTGACCAAGCGTTCCAAGGATAAGTCACCGTGGGTTAGCTGCATGGCCTTGGATTCAAGTGAAAATTGGCTGGTGAGCAGAGATGCATATTGTGTGATTTTATAGCGAAATATTTCAGGTTGTGCTAGAGCTGGTATGTTCCATGGGGAAGCCTAATATCAGAGCTATATGCTACGCTAGTTTGAGAATCTAAGAACTGACATGTTTTATTTGATGAAACTGCGCAACCGTTGAAGGGAACACTAGCTCTGGCATTTTGCTCAATCACTTTGCCTGCTTGGTCCAACTGATTGAAGTCTTTTCTATTTCAAGGTTTGTGGCAATGGAGGACGCTGCGTTACTTTATGGAGCCTGCCTGGTTTGGATGCCGTGACCCGCATTGCCACTCTTGCCGTTCCACAAGCCGTAACAATCACGGATGATCAGGTTTGAAATCTTCTCTAACCGCCGTGGGGCTGCTGGTCTCATGCAATATGTTGGCCGGAATAAGTAAAAGTTGAAGGTCCAGGTCCTCGCCTGTGCTATAATTCTAACTTTTTTTTGCGAATCTTAATTTTGATGGTGACTATTACACTGTGGAGTACATGCAACGCAGGTTGTGCAAAAACATCTTCAAGGAGACTGCACAAAATATTTCAAGGAGAATGATGATTGTAAAATCATCATTCAAATATGTTATTTAAGGCAGCAAGTAGGCAACTTCACATCAATAGCTGGGAGGAAATGTCTTATTTTTCCTTACATACGCTTACATACGTGCAGATAGTTACTGTTGGAGCCCAGCCACATCTGTCTCGTTGGAGTTTTGGAGGCAACCTTCTTTCACAAGTGAAAATTGCTCCACCGTCTGCGTTATCAGTATCGGTCCACTCGTCAGGGGTAAGTCAAGACTTTCTTAGGAAGAATGACGAGTACTGGCCACGAATGTTTGTTGATGTGCATCACATCACATCAAGTGCTTTAAAACTCACAAACTTGTTCTGTTGGACAGACAACTGCTATAGCAGGTTATGGAGGTTTGGTGGACATTATAACGGAGTTTGGAAGTCATCTGTGCACGTTTCGCTGCTATTCAACGAGCTCATTATGAGCCAGGTCGAGTGTTCGGCCGTTTCCACAAAGGAGAGGATAATTGGCACGAAAGTTATTGAACGACAGACCCAGATTTGCCATTCCAGAGATCAAGATGCTTCGAGGATATATTGCTGCAGGCACTCATGTCACCCATATATCTGAGAAGAAGACAACTCGACTCGAACAAGCTGTAGAATCATGACTTAGCTTAGTCCGACTTCTAGAAACTTTATTCTCGGCTGTTGGTTGTTGCTTTACGACTGACGCAGTAGATAGTACAGAGCAGCAGAGGGAAGTCGACATCAAACTGGAGTTTGTAGCTGTAAATACAGTCGGAGTTCATACAGACTTCACATTTTTGTTACGGAAGCCCGAGTGGAGTCAGTGAGCTAGTGCTTCTTGGTTTCGCACCCCTGTAGTGTAGACAAACGTAGGGTATTGAAGGGCCATTGTGCGTGAAATTCCGTTGAAGAAAGCAGGATAACTGAGACGAATGTCTTAATTCCTGCCTTTCTTGCTGTAAGTAAAATGACTCAATACATGCCAGGCCTGACCGGTCAGCAGGGGCTTGCCCTGTGCGTTTTCCACTGGCGGTGATTGGGTGGTGTCATACCTTATGGTCTTGGGGAGTCTCTGCCATTGGAATGTGCTTTGTAGCCTCGTGCAAAAGTTCTGACCCACCGCAGAAGGCCACATTCCCCTTCAATGTTTTCGGGTGATGCATCCGTCCCGTTGCCTGACCACTTCAACATCGTTTCCTCGTCATTTTTCTCGCGTCGAGTTACATTCTGTTGGCATTGTTTGTATGTTGGACATCAGCGAAAAATATCATCGACCTGGCTTTGGGTGAATGGGGCCAGGGCCATGTCTGGCAAGTAGCAGAGGTCAAATATTATCAATTAGAATTCCCATGTTCTCATTACAGGGAAGGCAGGAGCTACACACAACCGCATCTTATATTCAACCAGATAAGCTAACGAGCCGACAAGTACAAAGCCAATAACCGATCTACCGATCTGTCTTTGAAGTCGTATTCAAAGGAGCGAGAGCATTTAGACGGAGGGCATGAAACTTCGCCGAGCATGTCTGAACTTGAAGGAACTGTTGGTAAGTTGGCACCTGCGCAGGCAGGTCCGAACAGTGCACTGCATCCGTGGCTTTGATTGGCACGCTTCACCCGCAAAAAAGGTCCAGGACAGGACAGCAGTTGCATTGACCCCTTATCTGCGACTTGTGGTCGGTAATAATAGCAAAGATGCAGTCAAGGTTGATACCAATCTCAAGTCGCCGAAGACGACACAGTGGATTCATAGGACAGGTGTCGTAGGATGACAGGGGTGAATACAGTAATTCGCGCTGTGAAATTCATCGGAGGATTCGGACCCCAGCTGGTGTGAAGTGATGTGGGGACATTGCTCTTCTACGTTGACTCTCGTAGAGTAGTCCTGACATCATACGCTCACCTTTTTAATTCGCTTACTGGAGAGTGTCAGGTACGAGAGCGAGCATTTCGTTCGTTCATTCCGTTTTCGCATCACGGACGATCGTGAAGACCGTCCGTGAGCTCTCTCTCCATCAGCACATTCGCAGACGGACTGCAAGAATGCCAAGCAGGTGCGACCAATCTCTATCACTTGCTGCTCTTCCCACTCTCCAACAAAAGTGTAGTTGACCGAAAGAGGTCTTCCTTTTCTGCCGTGGCGAGGCAACACAAGGCCCGACCTCGATCGACCTCCGCCTCGATATTTTGCTTTTAGCCTTGCAGCTGGCAGTGCCAGTGGCGTATCCTCCTTCACAGAAGAAATTCCAGCCCAACGAATTGTCTCTCGTAAGGTCGAGGATGCCACGCACTTGGAGAGGAATCTCTGCGACCGTTTAGTTCCGAGGTGAGCACCCCGGTGGGGAAGAAGAGCCATCGACGCGGAGAGGAGCCGGGGGACGAGGGGCAGGGGAACGAAGAGAGGGGGAGATGGCCACGGGACGGGTAACGATATGCATCGGGGACATTCACGGGCATGTGGAGAAGCTCGAGAGGCTGTGGCGAAATTTGGAGCTGCGACTCGGAGCGGAGGAATTCGGCGGGTGCACGGTCATATTCCTGGGAGATTACAACGACCGGGGGCACCAGCCCCGAGGAGTGATTGACTTCCTCATCTCTCTGCGCAAAGCTTACCCGCAGCAGAAGCAGGTGTTTCTGTGCGGCAATCATGACTTCGCTTTCATGGCATGCCTGGGAATTCTGCCCCGCCCTCCCGCAGGATTTTCCTACTCCAGCACTTGGACCAAGTACCTGCAGAACGAGAAGATGGAGGGATGGTGGCAGGGCGAAGGCCAGGACGACATTCATTTGCAAGGGCGTCGGTGGGCTGGCAACATCGGCATCCGCATGAATCCGGCCAAAGGAATTCTGTACAAGGGCTCCACTTACGATGCGGCTGTCACCTTCGAGTCCTACGGGGTGGCGCATGGCGATCGTGCGGGTCTGATCGCCGCCGTGCCGGAGCACCACAAACAGTTTCTGCGGAATCTGTCGTGGGTCCACGAGGAGGACGGAGCAGGAGAGACGGGCGATCCTGCGACGAGCTACTCCAGGATCATCGCGGTGCACGCGGGCCTCGAGAGCACCAAGTCTGTGGAAGATCAGCTGCGGCCTCTCCTGGAGAAGGATTCCACCATCGCCAGACTCGAGCCCTTGTACGGTCGCAAGAACGTATTGAAAATTCCCCAGGAGCTCGCGGACGAGCGAGTGATGCTGGTCAGTGGGCACCACGGATGCTTGATTCTCGACGGCTTGCGACTCATCATCGACGAGGGTGGAGGCATGCCGAACAACCCCATCGCAGCAGTCATCCTCCCGTCCAGAATTATCGTCCGCGACACCGATGCCCCCATCTCTCCTGCCCCCACCATCTCATCCTCCGTGACACCTGCACTCGTGTGAGCCTCGGCGGATGCTTTCTTCTGAGCAGCAGCAGCAGCAGCTTCTTCAGCTGGTTGTTATATGAAAGCTTATCTCTCAGGTCATGCAGGTCGGGGGCAACCAGAATCCATCCATGCCCTGAGGTGGAGGAGAGGTCGATGCATACATAGCTACGGTTGGGTTAGCAGGAAGGCTGACGAGATCAGACGACAGAGAATTTGCGGTTAATTTCTCACGCGAGGAGAAGGAGCTGGGAGAAAAGCTCGATGTGAGGAGGTGATGAGGTTTGTTATATAGGCGCAGAAATATTTTTGATCTGTTCGAGTAGGGAGGAGTGTTGTTGACCCGTCCTGGTTGTAACATATGGAGCGCTAGATCTCGTTTTTCCAAGGGTTTCACTAACGACCCTCTTTCTCTTCACACTACAAGAATACAATCACCAGTTCAGGCCCTGGCTAAAAAGCCCACTCGGCATTATTTCAATGAGAGGAATGGAAGAGTTGCAGCAATCCACTTCATGGTAAGATTTTTGCTTCGTTGTTGGTCGTGGAAGCTCATCTTTGCAGACCACGTCGGACAATTGTAAAATTGGCGCAAGTTCCCCCATTCACTTGAAGTACTGTACTTACCAATTGTCGGTTCTCCTTGACTAAAGAGCTCTTTTTATTTCTCTTTTCTGCGTGCTTCTCGAGTTTGCGATTACATCGGTAGATTGTTCTACGACAGGGAACTGCTCACTCCTATGGACAGCAACAATTCAAAGCTAAGAGATCAAGAGACAATATTTCGGAGTCATAAATTGAACCCCGTATGTTCCGTATCTAAAAGAGTTCACTGTTCGTGTGGTTGTCTGGTCAGTCCACAATTGTTCGAAAGTAAGGATACAAATCTTTTACAGAAAATGTCGATGCGAAGTAACTGGATATTGTCTCCATTACGTGCTCAAGCTGATACTCTTGAAGACTTCTCTGATGAAGAGAAACTGTGTTTGGTGCTTTGAAAATTCGAAAATTCGATGAGTTTTTATACGCAAAGCACTCAGACAGAGTGTGGTCTAGTCCAAATTTTGATGTCCATTTCATTGGTAGCCTGTGAACGATAACGATAATTGAAGGCCTAGCTCTGAACCGCCGTCGAACCGACTTTGGTAGACAATTTAGAGCACTAGCCTCCGTGGCCTATTAATGGATCATGCTTTCAAGCATAACGAGCAAATTTGAGAGTGCTTGAACAAAATGTTTCAACACCTTGACATCCAATGGGACCCTCGTTATCGGTCATGAAGAACTAGAAGGAGCTTTCCCCTATCTCCCATCGGTAATCAGAAAGGTCGTTCGTTTAAAATCTCAGGTATGAGGAAGCATGGACACTGCTTGTGAGATTAGCTCCCTCTATTATGGACCGTATCTTACAATCAGTAGCCACAAAGGAATGGAAGAGATTTAAACTCAGGAAATTTGCCTCCTCTGTTTGGTCCCGTTCCCAAGTTTCCAAATATGGGTGAATGGAGTTAAAACTACACTCAAGAATAAAACTTTTACCAATTATCTTATGTTTTGCAAATTAACTCATGTAACCCTGATGGGCATCAATTTGGCCTCATAGATTTCGTTATTAACATTACATCAAAATCTCAATAAATATTAGGTGCTCTGGAGGCTTCGCCTCACGAAAAAGAAATGCCAAGATGGCTTGGCTATAAATTATCTACTACTCTACCTCACCAACCTAATCGAGGTACGGTGGAACCGCTCAAGCTCAGCAGGACTGAAGCGGCTCAAAACTTGCCGTAACAAAAGCCATGGACCAAAGATGGAGAGACGTGACGTTGTGAAATTTACTCTCCCTCGAAGTCTACCAGGATGAACAGAGGCTTGCCTTTCAGTTTCTCACGGCCCTGCATATTGCCAAGACCATACACCGTGAGAAATTGAGCCAAAAATTCTATCGGAGACTGACTGACAAAAACCTCATAATACCTTTGGGTTTCTAGTACGAGACAATAACCACTCTTCCCCCAATTTGTCACCACAATGGAAGCCTTCACCATGAATTTCACTGTAAAGGATACCATAGACAATACGTTTTTTTGTCATATGAATAAGCATACAGATCTTAAAAGTTTTGACAATCTCACCTTCAGATCCGAAAGCTCGATCAAGCAGGCACACTCCACAACCTCGGCACCGACGCGCTCTGCATGGCTCAAACCAGAAAAGCAAACAAAGCAACAATATCAGAAAGACGTAAAGCGTCTAACCTCAATGCCCTCCGTCCCTTTCAGAGGGTGCATGAGCAGTTGGAGATAATCAACCTGTCTAAAAACCAGCTTATCCTCAGTTCTGCAATATGGGCAACTTTTATCTATTACTTGAAACCGTACACGTCTGGTCTTAGTCAAGGTTGATTTGAGTACAAATTATACCGTGGACTTTCAATAAGGCCTGTAAGTGAGAAACAAATCGAAGACCTAAAGCTGTTTATCAGATGCAGCATGAATGATGGCCACATCACCTAGTAGCCTTATTCCTGCAGCAAGTGTACCCCCGGTTGCAATAAGATCGTCCACAATCAAACAGCGTTCACCGGGCTGCACGGCTCCAACGTGCATCTCAATTCGGTCTGTACCGTACTCCAACTCGTACTCCTCACCGACAACAGGGCCTGGACAGGATGTCAAAATCAGCATCCTTACAGTTGAGTTGTACACCGAAGTATTCATGTAAAAGTTTCAATCTATCAACCAGATAGGACATAACCTAGGACATGATCGGTAGAACTTCAACTAAAAGTGATTAGATCTCCCAAGAATACTTCCAGTCTAGACAGTAGAGCCTGAAGAATAATATGATTAAGTTTAACTGTCAGGAGACTCGTTGGTGATAGAATGACCCTGCTTTTACATGAACTACAAAGTTACACTAACCTAACTTCCTGAGGTGCTTTTCCCTCTGCTCTTCTCATATCTCCATTCGACTTATTCTTCTCATGAGGCAGCTAATAAACAAACCTGGTAGCTTCTTGGGCTTTCGTTGAGGAACAAATTTCGCTCCAATAGCGAGTGCAATCGGTGGGCCAAATATGAAACCTCGTGCTTCAATTCCTACAAGGCCACAAACACAAACGATGTCTCAAACAACATCTTCTTGTCTTACCGAAGCTATGTACTACTGCCACTTCTATTGGATGCTCATGCACATCCTTGACAAATCATTGCCAGCTTTCATAGAAAACAAAGAGATAGCCTAGACAAAACAATCACATCGCAGGCAGTTTTTTGCTGATAATCTAAGTACCAAGTGTCATATTCGAGTGACGGTAGAGCTGAAAACCAAACAACAGCAAGTGTATTGCTAATTTGTCTAATATCCCGAGCTGGCTTTCTGCCAGGAATTTTGCTTGAACGAGCAAAAGAAAGAGAAGGAGAAGGATATCGTGAGGCTTACCAACAACGACGTCTATTTTCATGTCCTTGTATCGTTCGACAAAAATGTCAGTGGTGTCCTTAAAAGCTTTGTGATCAAGCAGAAGAGTCGTCACATCGCGGAAAAGGATACCTACAGAGGATGAATTGAAAAAGTCAGAGCTTCCAAGTCAGATTCATAGTTGAAAAAAAAAGCTATACCAGACATGGAATCGCTTTGCCCCACAAAAATCCAGAGAATTTGCATCGAATTCAAAAAGGATCTGAATATTTTCAGAGATGACTATCCCCACAGACAGACGAATCTAATAAACTTGTTCAACCGAGATCGCATCTTCCTCCTTCCAGATTCCATCTGACAGTTAATCTATCACGGCTATAAAATTACAAACACTTCGGATGCAATTCCGCGCATTTCAGAAATCACAAGTAAAAACCCTTAAGATTAAAATTGAGCTTAAAACCCCAACAATCAACGAGAACGCCACAAACAGCTGAAAGAGTCAGCCAGGTGCTATAGGATTGCTGCGGAAAAGAAAGGGTCCATGATCTGGGTCCGCTGCTAACTCGAGCTGCGCATCACAATAAACGAATGCTCGAAGGGCAAATTTTGTGATCTATGAAAGCGCTCGCTGACTTGCGTAAACCCATCCTCTAATGCATCCATCACTCGAGCTAATTTAATTTTTCCGAAGAGCAGAGCACTTACCGGCCTTTGGGAAACCGGGGATGGTACGAATCGACTCCTTGATGTGGGCGAGGCGGGGATCACTTTCCGCAGCTGTCGTCGTCATTGTATAAGAAAATCTCCCTCTTCCTCTCGCGTGCGCCGGTTGGGAAAAGCGATGTGAGCTCGTTCGTCTCGTGGAGTCGCTCTCACTCTGTAGTCGTCCACACCTCCCCTGGCCCTTCCCTCGGGAAGTTGGTCAGCGAGTCAGAGGCTCAGTTATAGACGTTACAGTAGATTGTTCTGCTGTGAGTCTACGAGCGGAACACCGAAGGGAGGGGTATCTAGGACGAATATTCGACATGCTGGCGGAGCTCTGACACAGGTCGCAGTCGCAGTCCTGGACATAGTTCATGCGATGCTCTTTCAGGCTTTTTGGGGGCAGACCGTGTCAGTCATTATCGGGCGGGCAGACCTAGAAGAGTTGATCTGTTAGTGCAGATCTGGGGTATTCTGATAAGTGTGGGATTCCAGAGGGAGGAGCACCTGAGGCGAGCTGGAAATATATAGTCCAGTAAGTTGACTTGAATCTTCTAATCTCATGGCCAATTGATCTGGAAAGTTTCGTTTGCCTGCATTGTTTTGATGTCTGTTTCCTATGCGCTTCCTCATATAGTTTCAACAAGTTTTTTTCCTACTTTGTTGTTGCGTTTGTATAAAATCTACTGTGGTAAAGGCGAGTTTGAAATTCATAATGGCATGTCTATTTTAGTTTCACAATAACACCCATGCAAGAAAGACATGTGATTCAGTTAATCCACTTCCAAATCAAATATTTCAAATGTAATCTAATATTTGTTCTATGTTGTTTATTTGCGTTGTGTACAATACTTTTCAAGCTTGTTAAATGTATTGTTATAAAAAGATTATGGCATGAAGGACTGAAAGCATGTATTTTATATCTAAGAAATTAAAACATGATTGGTAAGGTACAAACATTCAAATATTGGAGTCATATACATATATTGTTGAAATATGTATCCTTATCTATAACACACTTATAAATTTCTGAATTATTTTGATGTCAAAAACTTCAAGTGAATGATGTGAATAAAATAAATATAAGAGTGAAAATTGATCATGTATGATAGTTCAATATGTATTAAATTGAACTATCATAGAATAGTATGATGATAGAATGTTGTATAGCCATTTTTTTTTCAAAATTTCATGAATCAGAATGCATTATATGGATGATAGAAAAATTAATTCAATTTGATAAAATAAGTAAAAATTTTCCATAAAAAATGATATAGGAAGCTTTTTTAATATCAAAATAATATTAATAAATCTTATTTTGCTAATTTTTAGAATAGTGTTTTAATACGCTGCAAAGTTTTTATAAAAACTTGACCTTAATACACTTGTATCATCAATATACATCTTTCCGATAATTTACATACATCTCCATCAATTTTCTGAGATACTCAAATTTAATTAATTAATTTTGTGAGATACTATACATTTTTCTTCCAAATTTGACTTCAAGATTAACATCATCAAGCTTCTTCATGATTTATAAAGAATAATTTTTTTGATAAAATTTGATTATTTGAATATGAAAGGGTAATTTGAATAAACTGAAAAATAATAAGAATGAAACATTTCATTGATACATTTTTTTTTATTTTATTGAACAATAAAATTTTTTATAATAATACAACATTACTTTAACATATTTTTAGAGTATCATTAATCCTACAATATATGTATCGTGTTTATGACACTTCTATAAGTATTATCTGAAGTGGTTACAATTTTATTACATTTTAAATCTTTTTTACTATGAACAAGGGAAAAATATTTGATACTTGATTTATTTTCATACGTGAATTTTTTAAAAATTTCATCAGGAATAAATATATTTGAATAAAATATAAAAAATTTAATATAATTGATGTCATGAATCAAAATTTTGGTTCTATAGAATTTATTTACTTTATATATATTATTTAAATATTATATTTTTTAAAATTTTATTTTAATTTTAATTTTTATATCATTCTAAAATGTCTATAATCAATGCTAATAAAGAAGATTAATCATGTGTGATATGACAAATATAGGTATGTTCACGTACTTAGTAAATTTTTTGTCTCAATTTTAAATGTAATTTCACTAATATTTCAATTTATATTATTAATTTTATTTTTTTCATGTAAATTATAATGAAATTTGTGAAATTTTGAATATTGTTATCTTGAAATATAATTTTTAAATTGTTACATAATCAATCATTTTTGTTGTGAATACATAATTTTAGATCAAATTAGATATATGAAAATATACTTCAAATGTTGAAATTTTTAATCATTATGAATGAAGTATAAATTTTTGAATAATAAAAAATTAAATACATTTTATGAAAATTCATTCTTATATTTTTTATCACGTATATTCTATAAATTTTATTAATAATATTTAGAATCATATATTCCTACTTAAAAAGAATTCAAAATTACATCAGATTGATAATGAGTTTCAAGTTATAAACTTAAGATTAACATTTTTTCATAGATTTGATGTACATTCATGATTGATAAATTAATTAAATCTTCATGATATATGCGACAACATATATATCATATAGTTGATGCATATCAATATATTGTTGCATTTTAAAGATTAATTTAATTTTTTCACATTTTTTATCCTTTTTTTTCACATATTTTACAAATATCAAATATTTAAAAAATAATTGAAACTAACTAATTTTACTCATCATATATCATATTTTGTAATGGATTTGATGATAAGTTTTTTTACTATTTCCATATCCATTTCAATTGTACCTTAATTTTTTGCTGATTTTGATTCATATTCATAAGAATATTACGATTTCTCATCTTCAATTTTTTTCAAAAAATTATTATATTTTATTTTTCTAACATATATATATATTATATATAATTATTTTTTCTAATCAAAAAATTTTCCAATATTATAAATAGACATTATACTTATCATGAAATCAAGCTGAAGATTTTTGAAATAATTATACTTTTACAAATAATTTAATCTGATTGGAATTGTTAGTTATTTATTTATTTTAACCTTTAACTGAAATGCCACATGAGCAATAAATTCTGCTTGTTAGATAAAATTTTCATGAGTATGATGTGTAAAATGAATGTTTTGTGCTTTTAATAATGTTCATGACATCATTACTTCAAAATGTGTTATATGAATGATCATAAGTACTTCATTTTTTCACACCTTGATAACAACAATATCAAAGAAAATATAACAATATTTGATATATATCATCTTGAAAATTAAAATTTAATCATTAAATGATAAAAAAATTCCCTAAAATTACATTTTAATTTAATTTTCAATATTTTGATACATGTTGCAAATCTTAGAAACAATTTTGTGTTTGCTAAAAACTTGAAATTTGAAAACATAAACATTTGAAACCATGAAATTTTTTAAATGAGGTGTCAATAAAAATCATTAGTTATTGCTATATATTGTAACTTAATCATAACCATCAAGATCTATCTTAATAAAACTAAATTAGATGCTAATTTTCATGAGTTATTACTATAATAACTCCTCAAGTAGTATAAATGGAGATATAATGAATAGTCCCTCAAAGAAGTTTGAAAATTTATATTTTTGAAGCAACCTGGAAGTAACATTATTGAGTCTGTTGCCAAAACCTCAATCTAGAAAATAAGAATGATTTGAATTCAATTTCTTGACTGAGAGGAAATAACATTGCAAAAACACTTGGATTTCATAATAGGAAACAAGAGAGCTAAGTGCATGTTTGAAGAAAGTATATATTTTATTTATCTTATGATCTTGTATAATATCTTCAAAGTCATTTTGTATGTTTTGTTCACTTATATATAAACAAGAACTATTTAAAAAATATGAAATACTTTTGGAAGGAATTTTCAAAATTTTTTGAGACATAATGATCAATTTTTTAGTTTTTATTTCATATTCATATCTTGTGTGTGAAAAAGTTATGAGTGTTCAAAATAGAAAGAGTTTGCAGCGATACCAAAAGTTAGTTATCAAAAATATATATATAGAGTTGATTACTTTGGCACTATTTGTAAAAAAAACCTGAAATTTTGTACGCATATGTATATGAAGCTAGATTCGGTGATATCTTGTAGCATTTTATCTTAATTTTGTCTGATTTGTCCATGTTTGCTTCTTGACCAACATCATACGTAGTTGAATTTTCTGTCAATCTATTACCATTGATTTTATACAAAGTGTTCATCCGTGATTTGATGAAAAATCTTCTAATATGGTTTGAATAATATTTTTCACAAATTTTACTCTTCTATACGATACTAACTTCAAAAGACAATCAAATTTAATCATGATCTTTTCATGCATAAATCTAGTCACGTCTTTTCCATTAATATATTTGAAAAATCTAGCACCTACTAACTTGATAAGATAATCAATTCTCATCACAATTAACTTATTTTCAAAAAAAGTAAGATTGAAAAAGATACATAACATCTATTTCTTGATTTCACAAAAGAATCTAAAATAATAACTTATATAAAAAAATGTAAATCATGATCTTTAGCAAAAATTTGACACAGGAAAAACCCTTGCAAAATTACTGATTATCTTTAAAATATATACTTCCAAGGATAATCAGATTTAATATTTTGAAAGCAATTATCTTCATTGCATAATGTATTTTCACATTTTGAATCTATGTGTAACTACTTCATCAATTATTGTGATTTTACTTTTTAAATTTCTTTTTATGAAAATCCATTGGCTTCTTGATAAAACAGAACCTTCTTCATAAGTTCATGAGATTAATATCATTTTATCAATGTATTACTTTTATTTAATGCATGTTTAAAGATAAATTATCAAACATTCTTATTCTTTTATTGTATCGTCACCAGAGTGTTTATGATTATTAAATCTTCATTGGATTGGTATTAGTTACTAATTAATCTTCATTCTCATTGTATGCTCATGACATCACATCAACATTAACATGTTTCTTGTTGGATCATAATTTGATAGTAATAATTTTTATCTAACTATACTTCCTACAATATTATACTTGTTGAAAATGTATTTTAACGTTTTATAATCAATAGCAACACTGAACATTCTATCTCAAAGATAGTATCAAAACTTCTTAAATGAAAAAATTACAACTAAAGCTTCTAATTGTGTTACTACGTAATTTTT